TACTACTACTGCTACTGCTACTACTACTACTACTACTACTGCTACTGCTACTACTACTACTACTACTACTACTACTACTATTTCGCCTTTCTATTGACTATGGCGCCGTATCATCATTTTTCCAACCAAAGGCCGACTGGCCTCCGTTTGTGCGCTGTCGATGTCGCTTGTTTCACTTGAGGACTCCAAGGTACTTGTGTCACTGACCGTAGAATTTTCCGAATCAAAGCCCCGTGGCTTCTGTTGGATGATGAAAGGTTCCGATTCAGCTCTTACGACTGCTCTGATATCCCTAACTAGAAGTTCGGTTATCTTATAAGGTAGGATCCGTCTAACAAGATTAGAGGTTCTGTTCGGAAGTACAGACAGTGGAGTCTGCACCGGCTCATAATCCTCATCGCCTTGAGGTACATAATCCTGATTGCAGGGTTTACGACCTTCTTTATCGTCATACGTCTTTTGACATTTTCTACAGCAGAGTAGTACAAAAACGGCGAGAATAATTACCACAACAGCCGAGATCACCACCGTAATAATGATGACGTGGACGTTTGAGAGGTTCTTGGTGCTGGCGCTTTCAGAATTTGCCGGGACTGCAGTCTTCCGAAACTGGGGTGTGCTTTCTGTTGTAATAATCTCAGCCCAACTCTCGTGTGTTTGAAGTTTGTTACGCGGCGTATGGCCTGCATTTTCCGTAGTAAACACTGCTTTAACCAAGCTATGTTGCCAGTGGTCACGTTCGAGGCGACTCAGAGCGACCGCATGGACCGTTACATTTGGTATGTCGCTGAAGCAAAACCCGTCTTGTCTGACCCAACATGTGCTCACGCAGGAGGGCGGGACGTTGTTGTTGTCTCCCTTCACGAACACGGCGTAGGCTTCAGACCTGGACGCATCAACATGGCGGCCAATTATTTCATACCCAGAACCAACGCCGTGTTCAGCCCAAGCTCTAGTGGTTGAGTTTTCGCCAATAGGGTTTGGTTCCCTCTGACAACGCACAGATGTCCTCATTATGGAGTCCAAACTACCACCTGCTGAGTCGCATTCGAGGACCACGTCATCACTTTCTCTGAAAGATATGGACGCCCCAATAAAATATTTTGCCCTTATTGTTTGAAGGTTGTTTGTGGCCAGTCTGGGCGGCGATTTAACTGGCAACTCCCTCCTCACTTTGATGGAAGCTTTATTGATAAGTCTGCCAGAAACATCGCGTACCTGGCAGACAACTCTTGTTAACGTTGCCAAATCAGGAGACGGAAATTCTACTCGTGTTTGGAAGACAAGGTCCTGTCTCGTCACAGTCTCGTTTTCTGCTTTGAAACGAATCAATTCTGACCCTCTCTGCACATATTGGGCCAACCATTCGAATTTTGGCTCGCTTTCCAAACCCATCGCCGAACACATGAAGTTGATCGTCCAGCTTGACTTCTTATGATCAGGGCAGAAGCTCAACAGAGGAAACTGCTCGAGTCTCACTGTTGGGTTGGAGAAAATGATATTAACTGTGTTTGAGGCTTTGCTTACCACAGGCTGGATACCTTTGCCGGACCTCTCCCCGACAGGAACCGGATACATATTCATTTGGAAGTCATAGATTCCGGGTAGGCGGATGCGGGAAGTAGTTTGGCATTTTGCTCGGGAGTACAGGGAGTCGTGTTTGCGGGATTTTTTCGTGGCCACCGTATAATTGATGTGAGCTGAGACTTTCTTGAAGTCTTCTCTGTGGCGGCCAAACTTCCGCCTCCGCAGAAGCTCGCAGTGAATAACACCGGGATATATTCTTTGGGTAGTGCAGGTCACCTGTGAATAAAATAAAACTCATCGAAAGGGATGGCAAACTTGTAGAAGTTGCGAGTGAGTGAGACAGCAATGGAAAAAGAGCCAAAGTCACAAACTCGAAATTATTCACTTATTGAAATTATTCACTTATTGAAATTCTTGAAAATATTGATCACATAAGAACAAACAAAGAAACAAACCTCCAAAACACCCGAAAGCAACTCACAAACTGTCGGTCCTGAAAATTGTTTTAAGTTCACAGCTAGAGACTATTTAAAAAGAAAATGCAAACAAAACAAATTCAAAGAGGCAACGAATAACGTGATTTGAACTTTCACATTTGATTTTTTTTCTTAGCCAGAAAGCACGACTTTAATAGCTTTTCCATTGGTTTATTGCTTTCATTGTTTATATTTGGTCATAATTTCGTATCCTTCTTTAAGAACTGTTCGTCCTCTATCCATGACATCACGTAATTATAACGAACTTGGGAATGAAACAGTATTTTCCCCTATTTTTAAAAAACACAGATAGCAGATGAAACAAAGCAATATATTTCATGTGTGTCCATTAGGCGTTACGTTTTCGGCTGTAGGGGGAGGTGGGGAGGGGGGGGGGGTAGTGGGCTAAATCAGGCTATGCTGAGAGTGAGTAAGTGAGTGAGTAAGTGAGTTAGTGAGTAAGTAAGTGAGTGAGTGAGTGAGTGAGTGAGTGAGTGAGTGAGTGAGTGAGTGAGTGAGTGAGTGAGTGAGTGAGTGAGTGAGTGAAAGAGTGAGTGAGTGAAAGAGTGAGTGAGTGAAAGAGTGAGTGAGTGAGTGAGTGTGTGAGTGAGTGAGTGAGTGAGTGAGTGAGTGAGTGAGCGAGCGAGTGAGTGAGTGAGTGAGTGAGTGAGTGAGCGAGCGAGTGAGTGAGTGAATGTGTGAGTGATGTATAGAGTGGTCTCACCTCCACAAGTGGCAGCTTTTTAGAGGATTGGCCGGAATCTTTGATCTTTGCTGTACAGCTGGCCTCTTTTGGCATCGCGTACATATTCAGCCTGCAAGAACTGACCACTTGTTCTTCCATGGATCGTTCTGTACACACAAAAAAAACAAAAATAAACGAAAGGGATTAAAAAACAACAACTGTGCAAGTTAAAGGGAACCTCGTAAAAAAAAGAAGATAATAATAGACAGCATTTGTATAGCGCACATTCCCGCTCCACAGCAAGCCCTATGCGCATTACATTTTATTCTATTCTTACCCCAGCAGACCTGTTAACGTTCTGAAACAATCTCAACTTCCTGGGAAGCTGTCATTGGTAGGCACCAAATCACTGACATACTGACAAGATCTTTCACTGTCTATGGTCGGGTACCCTCTCCCATCTGGGAGAAGTGAGGAAAAAACTATATAAAAAAAATAATCAGAGATACGACTTTGCATATATCATAGTACGCATGTTGTTGCCTGCCTTTTAAGGTTAAAGATTCAGATGAAGAATACAGAACAGATTCGAAAAACCTGTCTGAAAAAAGCAACTACAGTCACTGTGGTGTAAGATGAAAACTCATCGTCGAGGAGAAAATTAACCCTCTTAGACAGGTGGACATCTTAAAAGTGTACTTACAATGTAAAAACAAACAACAACCCCCCCTCCCCCCCAACCCCCCCCCCCAAAAACAAACAAACATAAAACAAAAGGTGAAAGATCGGAAGTGGCCTTTTGTACAGGACACTGTCTCATAGATCTAGGTGGCAAATAAAACAAATTCAAAAGAATACATGTAGTTCTTTTAAGGAGCCCCCACCTCCCCCCCCCTCTCCAACATGTGCATCCTCAAAAATGTCAAAAATTATACTGTGTCTTACCGTCCCGGATAACACATTGATAAACATCCTGTCTGTTTCTTGCGCCAGGCTGGTGCAGGGTGAGAGTACTGTTGAACCAACCAGAACGGGCTTCAGTGAGCTCCATACGACTTTCGTAGACATTCTTGTCGAAGCATTTGGGCCTACTTATATCGCAGTGGGAGATAATGTCTTTCCTTCTCTTATCCCCACCTCTACCGCTTCCTTCACCTTCATTATCTCTATTATCTCCATCCCCTCCATCACTTCCATCACTTCCATATGTGTCCAGCCAGTGTCTTTCCCAGATCACTTTGCTGAGGGGAAGAGATTAGATTTAAAAGAAGCATACACACATACATGATCTCTGTCTGTCTGTCTGTCTGTCAGCCTGTTCGTCTGCCTGTCTGCATGTTTGTCTGTTTATCTGTCTGTCAGACGTTCTCTCTCTCTCTCTCTCTCTCTCTCTCTCTCTCTCTCTCTCTCTCTCTGTCTCTCTCTCTCTCTCTCTCTCTCTCTCTCTCTCTCTCTCTCTCACACACACACACACACACACACACACACACACACACACACACACATATACACACACCCACATGCACACACAGACACAATTATGGTAAATATTTTATATTTTACGCACCAAACTTGCACAATTTGGAAGAGGAAATGACGTTTCAGCTTTGCGTATTTGTTTGGGCCAACCAAAGAGGTTATAAATAGAACTAGAGGTCTTAGCTGTGACGTCACGAGTGTCAAACGTGACGGCGCGCCGCCGTTCCGGAGAGGAATAAAAGGCCAGTCGGTGCACAGTAACATTTTTCAATCACAAATTAATGATACTCTGCGAAGTCTTTTGATGTTTATTTCTTTTTCCTGTGATTTGCCTATCGCTAAAATGTACCCAAACTCAAAGGGATTCATGTGATTGTTTACATTTAAGTGAGCCAGATAATTTCCAAATAATGCAAATAGGGTCTTTTACACGATGAGACCATATAGATGAGTAAAATTCAGAGAAAAAGAATGACATGGACTTGATGATCACTTGTCAAAATATAAAACACAATTTTATTGAAATCTTTTCCTGTGCGTCGCTCAAACAGTATGTCTAGATTTAGCACCGCTGACTACAACAAGGCACTCGTATCGGCCCTCTGGAATCAGGAATGTGACTGAGAAGCTGCTAGAAGCTTCAGCTGCAACTCTAGAACACCTTCAAGGCTGGCTGAACGGAAAAGAACCACTGTCGATGTTGTTGAGATGAGAGAATATAAAGTAGCCAACCAGGCGTTACTACCCACCAATATAAGGCCGGCGTAATATTCTGTCCCATTTGCGGAACCGATGCCAAACAGCATGTCGTGCAACAGCAGCAGCAGGGGTTCATGGGATATGGGGTCTTGTGTAGCCAAACACCATTGCCAATCAACGCCAATTTTAGAAAATATTGTTCGACGATATATCTAAGTTTTGCATTTAAAAATGTTGTCTGTATATAATCATATGTGCCCGATATTTAACAACGCTCTTTGGGTGTGGGCACAGGATCCATACATTGAGTGATTTACAATATCCCAGCCTACAATTCATTGCTCATTTTGAGACAATAATGAATTAATATATTCAACTAGCTGGGTCCCCTTTCGGTAAAAGGAATGATTGGTGCATTAACATCAACTAAAAGTCATTGGCCTACTATATTTACACTTTACTTAAATGGAGCAATAAATCTTGAGAGATGCAAAAAATTAGAAGGTCTAGATATAGAGATGTATAGATTGATTCTCTATTCCGCTTTCGTGGTTGTGCACTCCAGAATTTCAAAGATGCGCACAGTTAGTGAACCCCAATCTCACTTGTTTATAATCAAAGATAGTACAAGACAAGATGGGTCACTTCTCTCTTTGAGCCAATTAAAAAAGTGTCCTCAAAATTTGGTGGCGCCCTCTTCACAAAAGCGCACTCTTTGCGAACAGAGTTACCCTACTTGAGTTTTAAAAAATCAAAGTGAAACTAGCAAGTTTTGGGATAAATTTCGGAAGAACGCTTTTTAAAAATGGTTACGCTGACAAAAACCTCTTCCGGAGGAAAAGGAGATGGTTTTCTTCGTTTAATTTGACTTTAGAATGAAGGGCGAGAGGACATTAAAATAAAAAAGACCCTAAAACGCCGCACTGAACGTACCCGAACTGCTGATGAACAGCAGTCGATCTGCGCACGCAAGGAGGTGCTATTCCTATTCTTCTTCTGGAAAAACGAAAGAGAGCTTCAAAACAGACTGCAGCGCCATCTGAAGCAAAGAGCATACTTCCTGCGGACACTTTTTAGGCTGAGTGGCCCATCTTGTCTTGTACTATCTTTGTTATAATGGCGTCTTAGAAGACGGACTTTCCCAAGATTAGATCTAAACGAAACTAATGAAAACGTGAAAATTAAACTACAGTAAAACTGCGCACCCTTTAAATGATTCTGAACCACCGTTAATTTGGTCAAATTCGAAAGTTAAGTGGTTGGGACGTTTTAGGCAGCCAAAGTGACGAACTTTCACAATATATAATTTGCATAGATAATTAACCCAGTCTTAACCCCTTCAAAACTCTATGAAGACCTAGGCTTTGCATCAGTAGAAAGAGAGTGTAGACAACATGACATAAAAGCAATCAATTTTGTAAGTATGAAATTGTCCTTTTTCTTAACCAACTCAATTACCCACTTGATCTACGACTCCCTCCACCCCACCCGGGAAAAACAAACAATACCTCATATTATATCTCCTTGTTCATATTTTGTAGCCCACATTTAAGTGCGCTTGTTTCTCACAATCGGTCAGCAGGTACGTTATTGTGTATGTGTGTATGTTATATACAACAAAAGCAAACAAAAAGACAATTGAATGGAGCTTCAAAGTCTATGAAGACCTAGCGTTGCAAGGGACGCGTGACAGCGCTGTTTCTAATCCTCTCAAAAATGTCGACAAAGCCTCCACATCCCCCCTCCCCTTCGCTTTTCCACAAAATAGGTACAATGAAAAAAACAAACCCAACCCACACATCCCTCCCCTTAAAAAAGACAAAAGTAAAGAAAACAAACACACCTCTCCCCTCCCCCCAAACAAACAACAACAACAAAAAAAACGAAATTAAAAACAAATACAATCCAAAACATAACCAAAAGAAAGCAAAAATAAAAATAAAAAACAAAAAATACCCCAACAACAAAGAACAAAACTAAACAAAACACAACACAACACAACACAACACAAAAACATAGAACAAAACAACAACAACAACAGCAAAACAACCAACAACCCAAAAATCCCCCAAATTAAAAGGGGCTCTCGTGGTCTAGAGGTATGGTGTTCGTCTCTCATTCAATAGGTCTCGAGTTCGAACTTGTCAGAGACGAAAACATTTCTCCTTTCACCTCCTGTCCTGCCCTCTATGATCTAATCATGTTCTGCCGTCTGCTTTTGTCTCCATTTTCTGTCTCCTCCTTCCTGCCCCCACGCCTTTGCAGCCTTTCTGTTGCTACTCCTTGGCCCCTTGTTACTGCTGTCTTTAAGACTCAGATCTTAGGGAAGGTATGATCTAACACCTAGCCTTCTTGGATAAGGGCGGAAAATGTCCGAGGTCCCTTGTGCAAGTTGAGCACTTTAAAGATCCCTTGGTGTCCCTATAATAGATACATGTAGGCTTCGGCCACCTTCCGGGCAAAATTCAAAATTTATTCCTACCAAAATGAAAGTGTCTAATCTGCCCCGAGCGCTTATATGACCTTACTATGCAGTTGCTGGCGCCGTAAACACTAAATCAAGCAGGCTCAACAACAACATCAACAAACAAGCAAACCAAAAA